TTCGTTCTACTGCAAGACTACCGACCTTACGCCTAACTATATAGACTAGTATAGACTCCACAAGACAGGTGCGTTCTTATCAAAAATTTGATTGGAACTAGTCCCGGTGAGTTTCAGAACAGGGAGGACAACCTTGAATAAGTGTCTGCTCTCCAGTTGTTTGAGTTTTTGGATTCGCTCTGCCCAATCATATATAGCCCGCCGGCAGTGGCGTACCGAGGGGGGGGGCGCCCCTCGGTACGCCACTGCCGGTCGCGAAATTTTTGAAAGTTACTTACAAGAGTTATAAAAATGCGAAAGCGACTTGTTTGTACTTGTAAATGATTAAAATATTTTTTGAAAATTTTCAAAAATTCATTTTAGCCTTATAAAAAAAATTTCCGGAAGCGTGGCTGACGCCACGCCCCCTTTTTCTAAAATTTCAGGGTTCTGAGGCCGCAAAAATTTTAGGAAGCATACTAAAAAAATTTCAAAGTGCGTGGCTGACGCCACGCACTTTCATCGGAGAAAATTTTTTGTCGCGCCCCACCCCCCCCCCCCCCTCTCCCGAGCCGAAATCCTGGGTACTCCTTATATGATGCAGTTACAATAAATATGTTCATGTGGATTTACTTGCATCGAGGATAAGCGGCAGAGCGAAATAAACACGGAAAAAGAGAAACCGCGTCACATGGCCATTTCGTAGCGCTGCTCCCACATACCGGCTGGCGACCGCCCCTTTCCGGCCGGCGTTCGCGCTCATACCGGCCGGCGGCCGTAGACTACGCGGCTGAGTGAAATTGACACCGTCCCCACCAGCCGCTATTTGTGTGGCCGCAGGACGATGCGAGTGTCTGAGATCTCAGACACTCGCACCGGCCGGCGATTCGACGACGGCCTTCCGGCCGGCGGCCGTTCCACTGTGCAAAAGCTCGGAAAGCGCACAAGATTGCGCGTACAGTAAGAAAATAATTTCAAAGATTGGGCGCGTTGTGTTTGCTAAGCAGTAAACTTCTCTCTATTAATTTTCCTTTGTTATTGTTGGGGTTTTTTCTACTTCGGTTGCGTCACTTTCTTTGTCCGATGATGGTTGATGTAGCCCATTATTATGATTCCGTTCATTTCATTCATTTCTTTTCAGATTTGATCAAACTCCATGGTGTTCGTTTATCACTTCTTTCTGTATTATTGCTTATTTTGACTTGAATGGCGAAAAAGCCGAACGAGTGAGTTCATGCCTATTTGCTGTGACGTGAATTCTAGGTAAGTGTCGCAACACCTTTTGGGTACGAACTAAGGAAGTACAAACTAGACGTCCACAAGTTTTTTTAGGAGATAGCTGCAATACATTGTGTTTGGGTTCTTGCTTTTATGATGGATACAATGAATGGTTGACCGCTGTCAGTTTAACATTGTTATTCGTGATTAACGAAACACTGTTAATCGTGAATACGAATAAGGCCAATGAATGCTCCTTTATATAATCCTCAATGCCGCGAATTGTGGACTATTCCTACTTTGCTGAGTATTCTAATTCATCTGAAAATCGTTGATCTGTTGGTTTCTGCTAAGTCACTATGTGATATACTACCGCACTTCTGCTAATCTGATGCTTACGGCTGCTCGAAGCACTCCAAAAGATGTAAGTTTTCTCTGACTAAGATTTGATTGAAACTACCCAGTGTTTTCTAGGGACCGATACGATCATCTGTCTTAACCATCTTCTGTGAACGCATATGTTTTGATATTGCTCTGTTAACAGACGTTATAGCTACTTTATGCATAGCTGTAAGTTCTGGTATAAGTTAAAAATTGTCAATAAATTACCCTAACTTCCGGAGTATTAGGCGCAGTAGCTTTCACCGCGCGCGGTTCGCGATGCGCGGCGAACACAAGCAGCCAACAGCAACCTCTTTCACCCAGCAGTAGCTTCTTGCTCCCGTTCTTTGCTGTTTTCCTCTCAATAGTGATTTGTTTTAGAACAAACCTCTACTTTCTTTTTGATTTTTCAAGAACAAAAGAATAGAACAAAAACATTCAAAATATCAGTAATATCATTGTAAAGGACAGCTCAGTTTTTAGTACCAGTAGCATTATTGGAAACGAAGGAAAGCACAAATGTAGCACCGGTAACATCATTGGAAACGAAAGAAAGAATCATCTAAGCATCATAAACACCACTGAAAGCACCTTCGTCCCACCTGTAACGATATCAAAGTATACATTCGGAGAAGAGGAAAAAAATACCTGGAGGCATGATTTATGGGCAGTGAGGAATAACCACAGCATACTGAATTCTCAGCTATTTAAAATTAGAGAGCAATCATTTACAAAGCGTTTTCGCGCCATTGTTCGCTGCGGCGGGTGCGCCTTATACAAGGTGCGCCTTATACCCCGGAAATTAGGGTATTTCATTTACAGATTATCGGATGCGGCTTAACAACGGTTGAATGTGGCATTTAGAAGTACAAAGCAAAATTATGTGACCTTTTAGCCTAGCCAATCCGGAAAGGTTGCTCAACGATAAGTGAACCAGTTGCATCAAATCTAGCTTTTTAGTTTTGAATGTATTTTTCATGCATATGTGTACAATGTGACAATGTTTGTTGTTTGTTCAATGTCTATTTGCATTGTACCTTCTGGCTGTAATAAATATGTATGTCGTTGTAGATTCGTACCACCATACTAAGGTTACAGAGCTGAATGAAAGGTAGATAGAGGAAAAAATACTGTGGCATATTGCCATTTCGCCATTGACGCACACCGGCCGGCGGCCGTACGGGTACCGGCTGGCGGCCGTTCGAGTACCGGCTGGCGGCCGGCTCGCGACCGCGGCCGAAATGTCGGTGACGGACCGACCGGTCGTGGAACGGCCGCCGGCCGGTGCGAGTGTCTGAGATCATGCGTGTGCAATGGCCGCCGACTCTCGCGATCATGCACAGACACTCGCACCGGCCGGCGACCGTCCGACGACGGCCTTCCGGCCGGCGGCCGCGCCAACTTTTAGGGCGGGGCTAAAGACCGGCCGGCGAGCGGACGATGTGATCGGGCCGGCCGGCGGCCGTTCGAGTGTGCAAAAACACAAGCAGCGCGAAGGACTGCGCATACAGTAAGAAAATAAATTCAAACATCGCATGATTGAGCCCGCCAAACTTCAGCCTCCCTTCAACGGCCTAACGCGTTTCACAACATTTCGATGGAACAACTGCAACTGAGCTATAGGTATGCTACGACCGCACCGAACGAATTGCGGACATTTTCGGCGTTTGTCTGAACAAGCTCACTTTCCGGCGCCATCTATTCCTACCGGACTGGCTGTGCGGGCGGTTCGCGCGCGGCAGCCGATTAGCGAGAGGGCGCGCATTCTTGCATGTGTGCGAGGTTGGCTTTGATGTTCATCGAACCACGACTGCTGATAAGAAGTAGTGAACTCACTACGGAGTGCAGCTTGTAAGGGCATATAGACGAATATATAAGTACTTATTCGCCGTGGGATTCTGTGACCAATTGTAAAACTGCGTACTATGTCGGCGCCTTCTCTTTTTTTGCTTTTATTGAGTTTGTTGTGGAAAATCTTCTCTCTTTGACCATTACATGATCTTGTCAAGTCTGGTACCATTCGTTCATTCTCTTTTAAGAACTCGCAATTTGAATGTTTTTTAGCTAAGACTTGTTTCTTAGCTTACATAAGTAGGATTCGTTGCAAAGGCTTTCTTGTAGCTCTGTCTCTCATATCAAAACTCAAACTGCTGCAGAAATGCTTAAATTGGCGAATATCGTCATTCGCAGTAGAAAACGTCAGTATTCACTAGTTCATGATTTGATGATAACAGTAGCCAAGAGTTTTGAAGATGGGAATGTTTGTCAAGTATCTATAACAATTATATCCATATCTAGCATCAAATATTTCTATGTTGCGATGCGCGTATGCGCTTCACTAGTTTTGTGGTAATTTAAAGTTCAGGTCAAAAAAAGTGTGGTATCTTCACATCGAAAGGAACTTGCTGAGGAGTTTTACTGTGTGTGAGATGTTTGATGCTGGTTAAGCATTTTTGCAGCAGTGTTAGTACACCTAGAATATTCCAGTAAGCGACTTGTTCAACTGTTTGACATCAGACAGCGTGTGGAGATATCAGCGCGCTCATGAGAAGTCACATAGCGGTCTACGAGGAAGTCCCATTGCTTTGAACAGTCGTTAATCCAACTGAGATAGCAAGAGGAGCATTCCTAGGATATACGAATGTTGGCATGCATACTGCGGATGCAGCCAAAAGAATGCCTTACGATCAAACGTTCAGACAGCTCAAACCTTATTGGCTTAAAGCACTCTATGGACGATTAAGATGCTTTGGTGTTATGTCACCCTAATTTTGCTTGACATTTAGTTAGACGGCTGGGGAAATTGAATAAGTGGTAATATCTTCATAGTCTGCCCCTCATTTTATTCCTCCTATCATTCCTGTCACGATGAGATCGTCTATGATTTGGAAGCCCCTCAGATCGTTGCAGACACATACGTTAGGGAGAGAAGGTCAATTTACCTTCAGAAGTTCAGATAAAGATAAGACAGGCTGTTCAAAACCTTCTAAGATTCTATCTATGCAAACGCACTTCTTCAATTTAGAAAATGAACAAGCTCTTCACTTACATCTAGGTCTTGGACTAATTGAATACCATGTGGTCATAGAGCCAAGCCAAGTACGTTAGCGAAAAACCAATGTCTCCATCAGTTTCTCCTTCATGAATGAAAACGAACGCGAAAATCCTTAAGAGCAAGTTGGATGCCATGGAAAGCAATGAGTACGAGAGGGAATAAGCGCTCCTGCGCCAATCTCGGCTACCGCACGCGAACCGCTCGCGCAGCCAGCCCGGTAGAAATAGGTGGCGCCTCACTTTCCCACTCTAATCGTCATTTTTCTAGCAAACCCGAACATCTTAATAGGAGGCAATGTTATGTCTTTGTGATAGCTGACCTTTTGTTATCTCCCGGATGCTACTTCGCCAAACGTTAAAGACGCATATACTTCAACATTTATTGGTTTCTGGAGAGAGAATCGACATTGAAATAGAGTTGAAGTCTTTACAACGCGATGTCTTAATGTCCACCTATGGATGACATATAAATGGGAAGTCTGAATGGGTACATTCTTATATAATGACATTTCCACGGGTACGGTCCATTTCATAAAACAATACTCAACAACGGATAGAGAGAGGGGAACTTTCAGACAAAAAAAATCTAGAAAAAGGACCTATAGGTTCGACATATCGCACAACAAAAGAAAGGATAGAAATGAACAAGAGACTCTGAAATGTCGAACAACTTTGTCTAACATAGAAATCGAAAAGTATAGGAGTTTTTGGGCTTTTACTGCAATCCCATAACAAAAATGGCATACAAAAGTAGACCATTATTCAAAAGCGGCTAGGGGAATCTCAGTAATAAGCTATAAACTCTTCTTCATAAACCTTACTTGAACCAGCACGGCCCAAAATGGGTGACCCCTAAAAGATGCGGTCAGCTGGAATCCGTGGGAGAATAATTGTCATCAGCTGACCGCCATACAGATAAGCAATGTGAGTGCGAAAAAGAAAAGAAGCCCGGTGAATGGATGGGCAATTGCAACAGCAAAAGAGCTGTGCACTCAAAAGTAAGCCGACTCAGATCGACAACAGCGAAAATTGTGTAAAGATGAAGAGGATTAAAACGAAAACTTGAGCTAAAATGGTGAGCACAGAAGCGCGCATTGCCGTTTGTAGAACGAACAGCAAGATCGCTAGAACGCAAGTTTGATACTATCAGTCGTACCGCTCATCAAAAGTTTTGCGAAATCCAAAATCTTAATTTTATTTTTATTCTTCTTGGGTAGCTCATAGCCACACAATAAACAAGTCAATTTCCCCAATTTCGTGTTTTGTCTTTTTTTTTTCAAAAAGTTATCTTAGCAGGGAGGAGTAAACAGTCGAATCTCCATAAAAAGTCCAGATAATGTTCATTTAGTCGTCCCAGTGGCCCGAATTCTTCTTTGCTGCTGAAAAAGTTGTCGATGAGTCATCAAATTTTAACGTGATCAGTTGTATCTAGTGTATTATTTCCAGAGTACTCTTTCTTTTCCACATGAAAATGAGAGCTTCCATAAAGGCAGTGCCCGGCAGATTCGTGGGGGAGATTGCTATGGTGGGGTTCCTGGTCACTGGCGCGCTCGGACGACTTGGCTCCAGTTCAACGCGGGACCCCGCGACCGCGCTCCCGCCTATGCACGCGATCCAAAGCAAAAATTACAGGCAGCAGGGTTTTCGTGCCAGGGCCTCCAACTTTCCATTGAAATCCTCGTTCGAGCTGCCTTTCGGAAACTAGTAAAACGCCGCGAAAAAAGTATTCTCACCCGTTTCAAAGCTCAAATTTGCGATCTACGGGGCGAAAAGGCCCAAAACATGCAAAAAGATGAAAATGCAAAATCCGCCAGGACACTGCCTATAGGAAGGATCTCAAGAAGTTGTACCAAGCCACCAAGCAGCTGTAAGCCTTATGCATCTTCTAGATGCGAGACACGCTTTTTGTTTTTGCATTGCGCAACCTTTCAACATTTCTCCCTTTTGTTCTTCAAAATTATATCTGCACTACTTCACATAAGGTGTGTGCACTATCTTTTGATAGCAGTCCAAAGGTTCTATGTTATGAGAAACTTTGGACTGCCGAAAGTTTTCAAAACTTATATATGTCAACTATGACACAAAACAAACGTTAAAAGGAGAATCAAGAATGAATTTCAAAAAAACCTCATATCTTTCCAACAGTCCAAACGCCCAAAACGATCATTCCTATTTCTGACTCAGTACGTCCATGGACTCCCACAGACAAACAAGAGCTCGAACTAATTTTCATGTGAAAAAAAAAACAACGTATAAGCTTTGAAAAGCTTGTGCCCGCACCGTGCGAACACCAGCATAGGCGAGCGGTTGTCGCGAGACATTATGGGCAGCCTCAATAGCTCATGAATTTTCCGGCCAATATCCGTCGTTTTCAGCTTTGCACATTATCTTTTAAAGAAACGAACATAGGGTGCCAACGTTGCCCGTCGTTGTACGACCTTTTTGCGTTTTATATGCTCTCTGAGTGGCAACCTCGGTAACGCCGGCAATTCGGCAACCGTTGCCGGCAACCTATGGCCATTTCCCTGGGGCCACATGCATTAACATCCCCGCCGGGAAGGGGATCGCGGCTCAAAAGAAAGCGTCATATCCTGAAGCTCCAGATATCTGGATTTCACGCTGTCTACCTATCCGCAAGTATTCCCAACCTCCTTCACTATGAGCATATTATATTGAACATGAGCGAGAAGTTGTACAAGCCGCATATCCCACCTTTTTGTATGATCCCCTCATGATCCCTAGGCCACCGACCGTGTTTTCTTTGAAGTCATTTTTCTTTCTTCGAAGTTAACGATAAACTTTCAAAGTTGTACCGATACCTATCTAACCCAGCAGTGTTAAGCATGTTGCTCATAAACACAAATAATGCTTTGAAGTCATGAAATTTGCGATGAACCACAAGTCGAAATTTGGGGTCTATCGAGAAACTCGATATTGCCAAAACTCATTTGTTCTTATCAGCAACATGCTTAGCACTGTTTGTTCAGACGAACAGTAGTACTTTGAAAGGTTTTTGTTAACTTCGAAAAAAGAAAATTGACTTCAAAGAAAAGACGGTCCGCCAGCGGAGATCATCAGGGGATCACACAAAAAGTCGGGAAATGCGGCTTGTACAGCTTCTTGCCCCTGTTCAACTTGTTCATAGTGAGGGATGGCGAGAAAACCTGAGGATAGGTTTACTTCAGATATCTGGAGCTTCAGGATATGAAGCTTTCTTTTGAGCTGCAATCCCCTCCCCGGCGGGGATATCAATGCATGCGGCTCTTAGCCAAAAGTGTCTTCAAGAGTCTATAAAAATAAGTCTGAAAAAGGAGCGCGCTCATTATCGCCTGTGCTTAGTGTTCGGATCAAGACCCCACGTTACCAGCTGCTCCGCGCGTCAATGTTCAGAGCGAGGCTGGGCAATTGGATTTTACAAGCTTATATGTTTGATGCAGCAAAACGTTAATAAGAACTTCAAGGTACATATGAGAATATAGATACTTGACAAAGTCACATGCCAGCCGACTGACAAACAATTTAGGTTCTTACTCGAAAGGGTGAATCATAACACAAAGCAAGGTTTGTGGTTGTTTATAGTGAACACAGCATATCGACCATACCTCTTGCATCTGACAGCTGCTTTCTTTCTGCCTCGCGCTGTTCCTTTGATATAGAAGAACGTAACCCGAGAGTGTGTTCCACCATGCGACGCGCAACGACTGCGTTAGTTTTCGGACGAGCCCTGCAACGGATAACATCAAACTCAGAGATGTAAAACACTACTCTAGACATACCTAGCAGGTCTCAGCTGCGCCTGAATCTCTTTGGCTTTTTCTTGAACATGTGCCGGAGACTTTGCGAGCGGCCGAAGGCGCAGCCATTGGTGTTTGTGAAGGACCAGAGCGTCTTTGGCTAAAGTTGTATGATCAAAAATAATTATATTCTAGTTTGTGCGATCGTGCGAAAAAGATAAACCCAGAAACTAAGATTCTTCAAACCTTGTCGTTCACTGGCAAAAACGACGAAAACCATTTTCCGCTCTAACCATTTTACGACGGCATTGCCCCAATCGGTCGATGCCAAAGCATTAGTTACGTCTTCGGCCAATTTATATTCGGGAATGTCATAAGCTTCCAAGACATGACCCAAAACTAAAACCTATAAGATTAGCCAACTCGCACTTGACTCGACTCAGAGCCTACACGAAGGATCCCACGACGGAGAGTGAGTAACAATAGGAGGGGCGAAATAGTTGATACGAGGTTTCCCAGCTTTGGCAGCGACTTCCAGCTTTAACGCTTTTACCTGGAATCAAACTGATAGATGAAAATGAGTGACGAGCAAAAGTGACCTGCTGCTCCAATTTCGTATCATCAAGGTTCTCCCAAGAATCCTTTTCATCGCTGTCGCTAAATTCTGCGGCATCCCCACAAAGATCTTTGGGTAGATCTGGTGCACTGGAATACGACGTCGACTGCGTCGGCGCATCCGAGACTGGGACAGCTTTCTCAAATCCATCACCTTTTGAAGCCACATTTTCGACTCCAAGTGTCGATGGGAGATGCTTTGGAGAGTATTCGGGGGTGTTCCACTGATCCATATACAAAGATCGAGCTGCTTTACTTTGCTCTGGCTTCCAAAATGTGGAAGAACGATCCTATAAAAAAGTTAAGGCTACAGTCGTAAAGTATGTGATATAATGATCCCATATAATGCAGCTTGCATGGACACCAGCATGCATGGACATCAGAAAAAAAACTTCTAGAAGCTCGTCTCCTTTTACAGTTAATGTGGTTAGATGTACTTTTTAGGCTGTCTTCAACCAAGAAAAAAGTATCAATCTTGTTCCTCACCTCACTACAAGGTGAGAACAATAAGAAATAATGATAGAGGAATATGATACTTACTTTGGGATCAGTTCCAGGAGGTGTCAAAGCAATCCCGGAAAACAAACTTTCAATAACTTCTTTCGATAAAATCTCTGCGTCACTTTCACAAGAAACTGGATCGTTGCTGATACTTTCGGGCGTCGTAGCTGCAACATGCATGCGAATATGGAACTACACTAACATACGATCGACTGACCGCGAAAGCACTGATCGAAACTGATGAACTGAGCACCTCCGCCAACGAAATTTTCGCGCCTAATTCCAGCAGGCTCGAACAACTCTCCAGGATTAAAAGGATCCCGTTCAGCAGTCAGACCTGAAAGCGAAACGCTAATAGCACAAGAACAAGATTTCATGCACGATGTGTGCTGCTGCCAAATCAACTTGCAGTGACACGGGTGAATCAGCAGTCTAGTGCTATTATTCAACTATAATTCGAGCGAAGTTTTGAACAGATTACGATAGCGGATCATTTGCAAGTGTATGAGTAGATCAACCGCGTACGAGGTCAAAGATATTTTATGCAATTTCACTAGAGCAGTACATAGGATACATGGGGCCACGAAAAAGTGACACAACAACCCACCCTTCCAAAGTGATGAAGGATTCTGCGTCAGTGGTTCCGACACTCGTCGACGGTTAGATGACGTTTTCAAATCCCTTCCTGCCCTTCTTCTAATCAGTGCTTCCGACTTTGGTGTAAGCACTATAGTAAGACAGATTATTAGTGGAAGACAAGCTAACTGGAGCTTGAAAACACTTACGTGGTTGGAAAGTTTCAGTGAGCAGCGGGAAGGGTTGAGCAGTAGGACTGCACTCGGGTTGTGCTATATCGCCCACTAGTGGATCGTGAGAACTGAGCTTCTCTGCGTACGGAAGCCTTACTGGACGCTCCAATGATGATTGTACGCTTTTCTCTGTATCAGATTGGTTCGCACCCTGCAAATTACCAATAGCAAAACATCATTGTGAAACAAACTTCAAGAATGAAGATGTAAGCAGAAGACAAGTAAAGAAAAGAAATGCCTAAAGAGGTAGTTCATCGAATTCCGCATCGATGTTACAAGGAGAACATCTTAAACAACCAATAAATTTATGCATTTTAACCTTTGATGATTCGAATTCAGAAGTTCCGTGATAGAACAGAGTTTTCAAATCGCCGCTCTGATACATCTGATTCTGCCTCTGTTGCTCCTCGAAACATTCATTGATCAATTGAACCTGTAATATTAACATCATCCTTAAGTCCTTAGTCCTTAGTACGTAAAGAGATCAGATTCAATTTTAGATGGATATATTTTTTCAGATCTACATACAACTTCGTCGCATACAAAAAAGACAATTTGAGCACGCGCGTTCTGTTAGCCCACTTTCTTGGGCATAACATACCGGTGTAAGTTAAGGCATTTCTGATGAAGAAACATAGAAGCAAATGCATTATTTCGCCGAAAGAGGATATGTTTGAATGAAAAATCTACTACATAACATGACCGGCTTGAAACATTTAGCAATAATTTACAATATGCAAATGGGAAAAGTCCGAGATTAGATCACCTCAAGATCTTCCGGCTCTGCAAGTTCAGCAGGCGGTTCAGTAGAGGGACAGTTGCTCGACAACAGACTTGATACTGCAGGAGAGCTATGACCTCCAATCAAAGGACTCGAATGATTGCGCTCAAGGCGTATGTGCAGTTCCTGGTAGTATAGATTAGAGCAAAGCTTCGACCATATACTGAAAAGGCTAGAGCTGACTTTGAGCTCAAAATCGTGACACGAGTTTGGTAGATTGCTGAGAATGCTGCTATCCTCATCATCATCTAACAGGTAACTTTCATCGAGATGAGAAGCCACTGCCGTTTCTTAAAAGCATAATCAATGCGGTTACAGACGTCAACAATGAGAACAATTGAACCCAAAGTCATGAAGAAACAAGAATATCCTACCATGCGTAGTCCTCGTATTGTTGTTACCACTTGGTGAAGGACTATATATCGAAGGTAGAGTGGAACGTAGAGAATTTTGGGTTGCAGCCGTTGCGGCAGCATACTGCACTGCTTGTTCAAAAAGAGAGGCCTCAAACTGGCCAGACCCGTACGAAGATGTGTAGGGGAGACCCGGATTACCAGCAAACATTCTCGATCCGTCCACGACCATACATTGCTTTGGTACATTGGTTAGTCTAAAATGTTTGAGTGAGGTTAAAGTGATAAGGGCATTTTCGAATGACCACTGGAAAATAATGATGTCACTGTACTTCTTGGCATGCAGACTCATGACTACCATACTGGCGCATGACCTACACGTAAGTGCTTGATGGTAAAATGAAGTCGTAAACTGCCAAATTGAAGTAAAAAACACTATTTAATCGGTTTCACCCTTGCAAATGAGACACGAAAATCTTATCAAACTCAAAATTTCACCGGTAAGATAGAAACGAAACGACAAAGAAATGACAATTTTCATACATTAAAAGCGCCTCCACATTAGGTAAGACGATAGATTGAATGTTACTCGAATTTGTTGAAAATGGTGCAATAGAACAAGCAACTTGGCCTTACCCAGCAATGATGTTCTGGTTGGTGGTAGTGTCATAATCAGTTAACGTGGACATCGTTTGCTCTGAAAAATTGTACATAAAGTCTAGGTAGTAAACATTTTACATTATTGCATCATCTTCATACTACACTGATTTTGCATCCCCTATGCCTCTTTCTGATGAGGCAACAAAGTCTTTCTATACTAAGGTTATAGATGTGAACATAATAACAAAAACAGTCCAACTCCCAATTCCAAAAAAAGAAAACTCAGCAAGTCAAACATTATGATAGGACTATGGAAAATTTGTTAATTCGACTCCCAAGCTCAGAAGTCCATCAGCAAACATGAGATATGCAATCTATCATTGGTAATAGGAAAGTTCACTCAAAAACCTGCCAAACGACAAGGAAAAAAATGAACTCTGTGTTGCAAACTGATGACATTGTCGAAATGATGTAACGAAAACTTACGGGTCTCCGAGTCGATCCCCGTCTAGAAGCGGGAATCCGCACCTGCAACAAAGTGTTAGTATGGATGGCTGCGCAAAAAAATAAACATTTCGAAAATGCAGCTACGCTAAAAAAAGGAACTACAAAGGAGGTGGACTATGGATCTTATCGGTACAACACTTAGTAGAAAAAGACTATATTAGAGGAACGAGCACTCAGTAACATTGAAAATACAACTTGTTAAGCTTGGGAGGTCATAATAGTTGCTGCATCATGGCGGTGATAACGAGAAGCGGCGGGACGGGTGACCGCAACGCGAACGCTGCGCGTCGAGTCGGATGCGTCGCAGATTTGAAAACTACGACGGGCGTCCCACAACTACAGTGAGCTGGTGGTCAATCAAGTGTCGCTCTTCTTTCTCGGATCGGCTTTTCCATAGATTCCATATAATCCCGAGATACAGGACCTGTGTATCAATAGACAATGAACTTGGAAGTATCGATCCACATTGTTTGGTTGCAAAAATGACTTCACGGGATATCCTTGATATCCTACAACAGGACTGGAGGAGTTTGATCTATGTCCTTGTAATGACGTGTTATAAGCCGCTTTCACAGACCTTCTTACATTAGATGATTTTGATGAGTGTAACATGTGTTCTCTGACGACACCAAATAACGTGCTTTGCTTGCAAACCGCTTATTTCGGTTTTTTTGCAAGTGCACCTTAAAGCTGCTGGAAACCGCTCATTATTATTTGTATTCACTAGTCATTCTGCATGCGGGAAGTGTCAGTGTAGTTTTAATCTCAGTGTAGTTTGAACACGTTGACGACCGCCATTTTTGACCACATTAAAACGGACTGATGATCTACGGCTGCAGTTTCTGTTTAACAGCTACCGCAGTGCGTTTCTATATGACAACCAGGCCACCAGTGTTATCACTGCATAGAAGTTACCTGAGAACTTTTCGTTTACACATGATAAATTGGTGCACGAAAGTGCTAAAAGGTGGTCAGGGCGTGCATACGCTCGGATGCACACGGCCGTCAACGTGTTAATCAACTTTTTTCCCGCTGCTATTGGGTTTTACAGTTGGCGGTTTCATTGCTAGGGAGCTCTGTAACAGGTGGCTCGTGAGTAAGCTCCTCAAGTACGACACACATACACTGAGATATTGCCCTACATTATGCCTACCATAAGCAGTAAAGAGGGTCTACCGAGCACAATGTGTATCTATCTGCAGACAGCACGTCAAATAACCTCTGTGTATGAAGTTCTATGGAGTTCTGAGTTTTCTGGAAATTGGGCTACTTGAGTGAAATGGTCATTTTTAAACATGGTTAACTTTGTCAGTAAGTTTCGACCCGCTTTAGGCGGAAATTGGATTGGCGGGTGTCCGCCTCGCAAGGGTTCGCGCCGTTTCGCAGCTACAGTATATCATATCGCGCTGAGAACCCAAGTGTGCTTCTCTTCCTCATTAGTCTTTGCTTGGCAAAATGCCAGGGCCATGCGCTCGCGAAGCCTCCAGCGATGCGCACGCGCTGCTCCACGTAGAATGTTTCACCTAATCCGGGGTGAAATCGACTGTAAGATGTATTATCTCTTTGCACTCACTTGCACAGCACTACACTTTCTTCATCCACAATCATTTTGAATAACCGTCAAACAGTGAATTCGAAACCTAGCCAAGTTTTTATCGCTGCCTGGCTTCCAGCGGTTGCGCTTTCGGCAACCGTTACTCAGATAAATGAAAGCGAATCGGACTCAAATCATGTCTGTGAAAACTACGAGATTCGAGCTCATGGGTCCTGAATAGGTCGTCGGCCAATTCCAATGGCAAAAGTTTTGAGGTGTAGCAGAAGCCCAAAAGACATGGTTGCCTGCTCGGAAATCCGCATTGTGCTGCTAATGTCGACACCTTCCTAACGACCGTATCTCTCACCGAAGCATCATACAGGTCATGCCATAAGCATGACTTGCTGTGATAGTCTGTTACGTTAGCCTACCACGCCCATTATCTACGGCATTCTACCACTGCACCCACGAGTGCAGGTCGCCTGTTCATGAAGCTTGTCAGCTAATGTGTTCTACATAACACACTCTACCAGGCGATAATTCGCCCAAGGCCTCCAGCAGAGTTCACGCGATTTGATCGTCCCTATTCAATCGCTACAAGACAAATGTTACGAGATCATTGCATGCCGATCTTCTCGCATTTCGGTTGTGATAGATTTCTAACACGACTAATCGTGAAACTATCACAACCTAAATATAAGAAGATCGGCATGCAATGACGTAACACTTGTCTTGCAGCGATTGAATCGCGACGATCAAATCGCGTGAACTCTGCCCGAGGCCTAAGGCTACTATGAAGCATAGAACCACCGATACACGCCTTTTATGAACATTCAATCTTATATATAAAGCTGAATGTCTGTTTGTCTTCTGTCTGTCTGTCTGTCTGTATGTCCGTCTGTCTGTACGTATGTTGCGAATAGAAAATTCCATTTCTGAACCGATCCGGACCAAACTTGGCGAACATACACTTCGGGCCCCGGCGGGTGTCATAGGCTACTTTTCGTCATCGATCGATATCGATATTATCGATTTTTTGCAAAATCTGAGCTACGGGGCTGGGAGTTGGCACAGGGAGGTAACCGAGCATGCTGATTACGAACATAATAATGACAGGGCCGGGCGGAGCCGGGGTCAACTAGTATCTTATATATAAAGCTGAATGTCTGTTTGTCTGTATGTCTGTATGTCTGTATGTACGTATGTTCCGAATAGAAAATTCCATTTCTGAACCGATCCGGACCAGACTTGGCACACATACACTTCGGCCCCCGGCGGGTGTCATAGGCTACTTTTCGTCATCGATCGATATCGATTTCATCGATTTTTATCGATTTTTTTGCTGGTTCACCTACGGGGCTGGGAGTTTGCACAGGAGGTAATAGAGCATGGGGATTCCGAATGCAATATTGGTTTTCAGGATTACCGATCACTACGTAATATATAACGAATTCGTTGTTTACCCATTAAACCGCCCGATAGTTGGATCATGGCAAACGAGGAGGCCGCAGACGTAAAAATTATGATGAAATACACTGATCTTTGGAATTGGATTGCTGTCAAGTGGCATGCGTTTTGGAACGCTGCCAAATTTCAGAACGAGTGACCAAGCATATTTTCGTAAAAGGGTCGCGCGTATTTCGAAAGGCAATCATGAGTGTCGCAATGAATTTGAGACTGGGTCGGCAGTGTCCGGGTGTATTATTTGTATACCTGCTTTTTTTTCGAGCTTGTTATCCCAGAATGTGTCTTCCAGATATGTTGTACTCCTATCAGTTGTTTTTGAAATGATGCCAAATGGCATGTCTTGAGCTGAATTCAGCTATGTTCTCAACTCTTGGTAAAAATGCTCTAACCAAGAACAGTCACTTTAAGATTATCTTGCTTCCGCGTGTAGACAAGAGGGTGCGTGAGTAACTTGTCGCTGGTACTTTTGGAAGCGTTTATCTAACAACAGCCTTGCTTTTGCTTGTGTAACTGAGTCCCGCGGGTGCTTTCAACTAGGTAACGGGGTGTAAGCGGGACGTGGGGCAATTCCATCGGGCAGGGAAACACATTTCTACGTTTGGGGCAGTTCTCAAAAAGAAAGCCAAAAGTGGCATGTACGGCAATTTACGCTGATTACTTGATTTCGTTGTTTTCTTTCTGTAGAGTCGTAAGGTTCGTTTTTTCTCACATATAGGGTATTCAAGCGACACATAGGGCATAATTTTTCTTTTTGAATAGTTACTCTGTAAGCGGCACGTAGGGCAACTCGATTATCTTTCAGATAGATAGTATTGGTTTGTAAGCGGCACGTAGGGCAACTCGATCGGGCAGGGAAACAGATTTTTGTGGGTTTGGGGCAGTTCTTTTGATTTTTAAACGGTCTTCGAGCGGCTTGGGGCATGAACTATCTTTCAAATAGATGATATTGGTTTGTAAGCGGCACGTAGGGCAACTCGATCGAGCAGGGAAACAGATTTTTGTGGGTTTGGGGCAGTTCTAATTCTTAAAAAGTCTTCAAGCGGCACGTAGGGCAACTCGATCGGGCAGGGAAACAGATTTTTGTACGTTTGGGGCAGTTCTCATAATTTTTAAAAAGTCTTCAAGCGGCACGTAGGGCAATTTGATGGGACGGGGAAACAAATTTTTTGTTCACGTTTGTGCACTTCTTATGATTGACGGTCTTTAAGTGGCTCAGTAGGGGGTTCTCCTTTTGTAGTAAAGCTTCATGTTCCTTAAGCGAAAAAATTGAAGGTTTTTCTGACAAAGTTCTCAATTGATTTCGTTGCTGTCGGAATTGATTCTGAGAGAAAAGTGTTTTTTGTAGTACACATAGTTTTAGGGGTACATTTCTACTTCCAAAACGATAGGTGTTCTGCTACTTACTAAACGATCTTTTGTGAATCTTGTTGAGAAGAACTGGAAGAGCAAATTCTCTTTGAGAGGGTAGAAAAGTGGGGGGAGGGTTAATCTGTATGTCTTTGAGAGGAGGGGGAATTTGCAGAAAGAGCGTGGTAAACGAGTGTCGAGTAATGAAATGATTTGTGAAGATTATCGCTTCTTCGAGCAGTTCTTTTGTAAATGCTCTTCGCAAAAATGTTCACAGGAAAGGAATAGGAAACTTATTTACAAATATTTATAGCCACAACGAAGCCCTTGTATTGTATCTGCCTCGACCCACTTGCTAGCCACCCGTAAGGTCGCTAGTTACTTTTATCGATTTTATCGATTTGTTTTGCAAAGGTTGAGCTACGGGGCTGGGAGTTGGCATAGGGGGTAATCGGGCATGGGGATTCCGAACACAATATTAGTTTTCAGGATTATCGATTGCTTTTATCGATTTTATCGATTTTTTGCAAAGTTTGAGCTACGGGGCTGGGAGTTCGCACGGGGGGGGGTAATCGAGCATGCTGATTACGACTACAATACTAGTTTTTGAAATCGCCCATTATTTTTATCGATTTTATAGATTTTTTTGCAAAGTTTGAGCTACGGGGCTCGGA